TTTGTGCATCTTTAAGCTTCTGACTTAGGCCGCCGAGAAGGCTTGGCTTTCTTTGTCGGCCCGCTACGTAGCTGCATTGCCCCGTCCACCGCTGCTGCGCGGGCATGGTTTTTTGTCCTGCCTCCAGAGGGGAGGGATATGACAAACGCGCATGGACCGGTTCTGCTTTGTGTGTAGTCGTGGGGTTGTTGTGCGCCTGGTATGTAATTTAAGCGAACCTTGGCTTGGATATTAAAGTGCTTGATGTGAATTGAGCGGCATGGGTGGGAAGCGTTACCATGGTGGTCGTATGGATTTTCCTCGTGCGTTGGTCTTCTTGCTCACCTTTCGTTGCTGAGCCTTGGGATCCGAAAGCGGGGATGCACAGGAAGCACTTCCCGGGATATGAAATTTATCTGGACCGGTTTGCTGGAGAGGCGTTGTACAGTACTATATAAGCACGCGTCTCTGCATTGAGCGCGAACTCCATGGTCAGAGCCAAGAGGTCTATATCCGGGAAGATCCCACGGTAGAAGCGCCAGGAGACATGTTTAAGGAATATCCACGGTAAAAGCGTCATGAGAGGCCCAAATACAGATGCGGGAAGGGAAGACACAGCTGCCATGCTTCAAGCATCCGTATCCGCTGATGGCTTATCTCCGCCGGCGTTAGGTTCCGCACAGGCTCCCTATGGTGGAAGCAGCTTGCAGTTTTCCCCTTTTCACATGCACTGTTTTCAGTAATATTGTGTGCAGCCTTTTGTATTCACGTGTTGGTGGAGAGATACAACAATAGAAACCACAGGTTGCAGGTCATACATATTCCACTCTGAATCCATCCGTAATTCATCCTGGACGCTTGCCTACGGATGAGAGACGGGTTTGACGCACGTATCTGCTCCGCTACCCACGGTGTTGACGCAATCCTCTGCTTGGATCATTCTCAGTTTCAATATGAGCTCAGCGTCCTAGGTTCGTGTGTCTTTATTCTTCTTGGCATCGGCCGCGCTAAGCGGCTGACCAATGAAAATACGTCAGTCTCAGCGCGGTTGAAAACACCAAAACCACAAAACACTTCTACATGCCACTACCTGGGTTTTTGTGTGTTGTGAACAGTTGCCGTCGGAGGCGCCACCGCTTGACAGACGTCAGTCAGTCTTGGCAGGCAACGGCGATCGCTCTCTGCTCAAAACCTCTTGCTTGGTTTCCTTTGTCGTTGTATTTTGTGTGCCTTTTGTGTGTCATTCTTCATTTCTTGTTTCATTTGACTCCATTTCGTTTCACAATGCTGAGTTGCGGTACACGGAGATCTATGCACATCTGCACACCATGGTTTGGTGTCCCCGCCGTCACGAAACAAGCAACAAGTCGCCAGTTCCTCCCGGGCTTCCGGCCGCTTCCATTTCTTTCACGGCCGGCCCGAGTATTGCGGGGAAATTGCAACAAGACAATCAATGTGTCCCACCACGATCGTCGGCTGGGTCGGCGACTCCTCCCGCTGCCGCTGCTGCCGTTGCTTCTTCACTGCCCCCGTGTTCCCTCGATCACACCGGCCGCAACCCCAATGCTTTTGTGACCTGTTGAGGACGATGGAACACGTGGTGTATCGGAAAGCCGTTCGGAAAGACAAGCACGGCCGCACCTACACTGTAGGTACTGTAGGGAGGACCTTTGTCAAGAGGTGAACGGACCCTTTGAAGTTGAACCCTCCTCCGCCTCCTCTCCCGTCATTTTTCAGAGGCTCAAATGAACACAACCCGCTTGGCACATTTCAACGTCTTGCCTTCGCAACAATGGCGTACCGAAACACAAACGGAGGAACTATGCTACGTTTGGTCGTCGAACCCCCTTCAAAAACGCGTGGTCAATGGTCTAGCAGCTACGGCACACAAAACATGAGTACGCCCCCCACCCCACCCCACCCCTTGGCGCCTTCCCCGATTTCGGCCAGGAGTTCCGGCAGCACAAGGTCAGGAAGCCGTTCAAAAGCTCAAATTCGGAAGCGGCAGCGGCCCCCGGCGACAACCCCACGACTCCCGTCACTACTGCCGTCGCCTAGGACGACCTACATGGCGGTGTGTTTTCTAGGACCGTGGAGGTGCTAGTTTCAGGCCGCACGCGTCAAGGGGGAGGCGGGGGGGGGGGGGGGGGCCAGGAATTGGGGGCCAGCCAAAACCCCCTTGGATTTCAACAAGGAAAAGGGGCCTTTTTCCCGGGGGGGTTTTGGGAGGGAAACCGGGGGGCCCCAGGAACCCTTGCCCTGCAAAAAAAATGGTTGGAACCCCCCCAGGACCCCCGGGCCGTTTTACCCAGGGGTCTCCCCAAGGGAAAAAAAAAAGGGGGACCCCCCCCCGAACCCCCCTTTAAAAAATTTGGGTGCTGTTTTCTTGGAAGGGGAAAAATTTTTTTAAGGGAAAAAAGGGAAAGCCGGCCCGAAAAAAAGGGGGGTGAACCCCTTTTTCCCACGGGAAAAAATGAAAAAAATTAAAGGAAACCAACCCTCCGCCGGTGCTGCTGCGGCTGATGCTGCTGCTGCCGCCGCTAGCTGCTGGCGCTGGTGTTTCCTTAAGGAAGCCCCCCACAATTTAAATGGGGAGGGGGC